CTTCCGATCTCATAGATGGCACACTTTGTAGCTTAAAAAATCGACTTTAAAGAATCGCGGGGCGAAAATAAAATACAGCATGATATTCAGCGTACTTTAAACTATAAAATCAGCACAATTTCAGAAAAAAATTTCAGCCGTTTCATAAACACTTTAAGGATATTAAATATATTGTGCTAGAAAAGAACATCCCATTTTTTGCGACTTTGCGACTTATGAGAGGGAGTGTGGATAGGGTCAACACAGAAATGATGGATGTTCGTTGGCGTATGTTCAAATTACATCGCCAGATACCAAGAGATGAACAGAAACATATAAAACCTTGTGTTTCTTGCTTTGCCAAGCTCATCTTAGATAATGTAGAGCGGTAGCAAACAATAATTTACTAACAGGATGAGATAATTGGCTTAATGATATACTTGTCTGCCAACAAATAATTTATAGATCGATGCTCACTGACGGATTTCAGCATAAAATACAATGTTTTATTAGTTTTTTAATCATTAACATTATGCATTTGCTAATTTTTATCACAGAATATGTATAATACGAATATTATAGTCAACAAGATTTAATATCATTAAAAAATATACCAAACATAGTCTATTTTCAACGAAGCTCACTCGATAACTGTAAATGAATTTGATATCTTACTGCTTATAAAATTTTATGGCGCAAGTGAGAATCGTTGATGAAAATCATCTCTCAATTGCTTATATCGTTCTCAATTATTTTAAAATTTGGCAGAGTTATACTGCAGGTATGGACTCATTCATCCATCGCTACTTTTCTAAATAAAAGTTCTTAATAAGTCAAATTACAGCGATATAACACGCAAAAGTAAGGGGTGAGATTCGTTTCCTAGTGCGCTCACTCAGCTCACTTGTCACGTTTCTAACTAAATATACTAATATTTGGTTCTATAGCCCTTTCCAGTGATTACTGCGTCGATGCGTCTAGGCATACTTAATAGTAAATTATTTATATAATCTACGGAAGTGTCCAAGAGTGTTTTACAAACTCTATCTTTGAACTCCGTCCATGTTTCATGATTGATTCCCCGTGCTCGAACCTGCATCTCTAAATTGCTTTTAGCAATATGAAAAACATTTTCAATCGGATTTAGATCGGGGGATCGAGCAGGTATACAGAACAACTGAGCACCTTGATTTTCGATAGCTTTCGTAGCCATTGCACTAGTTTGGGAAGGGTCGTTATCCATAACAAACATCTTTCTGCCTTCTTGTCCATGAAATAGAGCCGGAAAATTTCTCCTAACAAATTTACTGAAATATACGGCATTCATCTTCGTGCATTGCTCGACGCAAAACACTCCCATGTCGTATGCAAATAAAAACATGGGCTCATTCTGTAAAATTTGCTTACATTCCCTCGCAAACATTGCTAGAATTAGGGTACCTTAGGCTGTACTAGGGTACATTAGTTTACCTTCGGGTACCTTGGAGCACCTTAGGGCACCTTGTAGTACTTTAGGGTACCTTGGCCTCACTTAGGGTACCTTGGCCTACCTTAGGCTACCTTGACCTACCTTAGGCTACCTTGGCCTCCCTTAGGGTACCTTGGCCTACCTTAGGGTACCTTGGCCTACCTTAGCGTACCTTG